ATTTCAATATATCCGAATGATTTTTTGTTTGACTTGAAGAGCATACATAAGCGATGATAAGTGAGGCGACATAATTTTCATTATTTTTAATTTTTTTCACGCCCTCAAATATGCAAATTGTTTCAAAGTTTCTCCCAGGTGAATACTAAAAATATTTTCTAGGTGCGTTGAAAATTGATTATAATTAAAAAATCTCGAAGATAAACCTAATTAAGTCGAAACCTTAATTCGGCTTGTAGAAATGAAGAAGATGTAATTAAAATGTTGAATTCAGTTAAAGCCAATTGGTGCAATCCATTCGATTTGGATGATGGTTCCGAACAACTAACAAATATGGACTGTAAATTTTGATAAAATTGAAGTTACAAATGACAATTTATTTTCTTCTCGGCCTACCTTGATGCAGCTCTGGCTGTTGACTGGCACAATTTCGTAACACTTAACGACTCTCGAGACTTAAATTCCCGAGTCGTGCTAGTCCCGATCACAGCGGAGTATGACAACGGGGCTATATACATTGTCACCAAAATACGCTGGGAATGTAACTGTAGGAATTAATTAAATGAAAACCAATTTCAACTTGCTCTACATAAAAAATCCCGAATTATCAAAAATTAAAGAGAAAAAAAAAACAATTACGATTGGACGCGACAAAATACGAGGTTAGCGCGAAAATTTCCCGGCCTGACATACTCCAGTATCACGATAAAACTTTGTCGTGTCCAAAAAAATGTCGCACATAATGCAAATTGAGTATAGAGCAGTCATAAAGTTTTTGACAAAAGAAGGGTTATCACCTAAAATTATTAAAGAAAGGCTGGATGGTGTGGTGTGTACGGCCAAAGTTCTCCTTCGTATTCTGTAGTGAAAGAATGGGCAAAACGTTTTCGAATGGGGCAGGAGTCCCTTGAAGATGATTCAAGAACTGATCGATCAGTGGAAGTCATAATATTGTTGCGATTGTGGAGGAAGTGGTATTGAGCGATGGACGTTTAAAGGTCAAGAAAATCTCAGAAATTACTAAGCTTTCTGATACAAGTGTTAGTCAAATCCTGCATGATTATTTGGCACCAAATGTATTTTACTTTTGTATAGAAATAACAGAAGCGTGTTTTACTTCGTTTCCTTCGCAGAATATAGTATAAAAACTTGCCAAATACAAAATTTAACCTACTGATAATTTCAATACAAAAATTGCACCTTTCATATCGAAATAATCGGAATTATTTGGGAGGTGAAAGATACAATTTTTTTTTGAATTTCCGCATTTTTGACAGTTTTTTTCGATTTTACAAAAGTCGGTGCCACTAAAATAAGTCGTGATATTGAGATTTTAAAGGAACTGTATAATTTTTTAACTGACAGTGAAGTAGTGGACTTGAGCTACAAATATATTTTACTTTTGTATAGAAATAACAAAAGCGTATTTTACTCCATTTCCTTCGCAGAATGTAGTATAAAAAGTTTCGAAATAAAAAAAGTTAACCTACTGATATTGAAAAAATCATTCGGATACGTTGAATAGTTTCGGAGTTATTGGAGGGTGCGTGATGAAAAGTTTTTTTTTGTATTTCCGCATTTTTGCCAATTTTTTCGATTTTGCAAAACCCATGTGTACGATAACCTTAATTTTTTACTGCACCGGCTCGTTTGCCGAATGTAACCCGCGTAGCGACGCGAAATCCATTTAAAATAAAATCAAATATTTTCGAACACGCTTGAAGGCGAACTGGCGTTCTATTTTTAAGTTCGTTTACAACATTCTTCCATACGTTTTAGTTATCGGAAAGAAGTTCCCGATACCGATTCCTTTATTCGAAGTCTTCAACGAAATACCTTTGCGATGAGCAATTTGTGGAAGACTATAGGTTAGACGTGCGTGCCGTTTGAGGGTTTGCATTTTATGTCGTTGCTATCGAGACCTAGTTGTTTATGGCTTTTATTTGACATTTTTCCAACTCAAAGGTTAGCTGGGAACTCGCTTAGCTTTTTTTGTAATTCTTGCCGTACTGGGGATATATTTTTCTAAATTATTTATTTAAAGAAACCTACCTAACAGGCATGAAACTAACAGGTAGGTTGTAGTATAAATTATAAAATAGTTACAGAGGCTTTGCAAGGAATGATGATACACGAAAGTTAACTTAAAATTTAGGCTAACTTAAAAAAAAACACTACATACAAATACACAATAAAAAAGACCGGAGAGTAGGAAAAGATAGAATTTAATAATTATAGTTAATGGGGCAATAACGTTTTTAGCTTAGTAATAGATTGCGAAAAAAAGTCCAAATCAGTGGATATTTAAAAATATTTACATAATTTAATTTTTTTAATTTAATTTACATAATAGGTTTGCGTAATTAAACAAATTATTGAAAATTTTAAAGTCATTCACTTTTTGCGAAACTTCTGGATTCCTCCTGCTTAGTCGAAATTGCTGACGTTTCGCCAATGATCATGTTGGCTTCTTCAGAGCTTGACTGAAACTGGCTCGTATTTTACTCTATACCTGCTTATATATTGTTTGAGGGGGGCGCTAATCAGGGGTATAAACACCGTCTCAGATGACTGATACCCAAATTGGAGACAGGTAGAGACCTGAGTCGCGTTTAAGATTGTTAGGTTGTTTATAGATTTCTATAGACTCTCGGATTTTTCGTTGGTAGAAGGACTGATTACATGCAAGAATTTTAGTTTTATCGAATAAAATTTTATGCCCGGTTTTATGAGTATGTTCGGAAACAGCTGATGAGTTTGTTTGTCTTAGTCGTAAGGCTCTTTCGTGTCCTTTGAGCCTAGTTGATATTTTTCGTCCGGTCTCTGCCGCATATGTATGGAATGCTGTAAACTCCTGGCATCTCAAATGGATATTTTGTCTTTGACGTACCGCAGATGTTGAGAGGTTTTTGAACAAGTGGTAAATCTGGTTTTGACATTATACTTTAGAACTTTTGATATGTGGTCAGTGATGTTTTGAATGTAAGGAAGGACCAGAGTAGCAAGTGCAGGATTGCTTTCGGCTTCATTGCTATTGGAAGGTTGCGGTGAAGTGTATTTTTTTGTGGAACGTTTAATATCTTTAATGTGGAAATTATTAGAGAGAAGAGCAGAAGTAAGGTGTCGATTTGAAAACCTTCATTATTAGCCTCAGAAATATACTGAGAAATAGTCGTCAAATTTTAATGATTCTTAACAACTTGAAATATTTTATCCTGTAGGAGAAAGTTATAACCTTTACAGAAATTTCAGAAAAATGAAGTGACCCTATAGTTTGTGATTGGCGATCTACAGTCTTTTTTGTGTACGGAAATAATTTTAGACAATTCCCTTACATCAGTATAAAAAAGTCTCAAATAATTTTTATACCTCAATGAACATAAAAAATTAACCACGCCGATTTTTTGTCCTGAATTAATTATTATGTTTGCCAATAAATGAGATTAATCCACCAAAGCATAAACTTTTACGAATAAATGGAATCAGCCCTGGAATTAAAGCTCTTAAGAATCATGACCCATCAAAAGTGTCTGTCCAATGAACGTTTCTTTGTGAGTTGACCGCCGGGATTGACGCATCAATTTACGAAGCTAACAATAAACGCCATCCTCACGTTGAAATCCCACATAATATTCCATTTAATTTTTGTGTCAGTGTCTAGGAATGCAGAATATGAACAAGCTGAAAGAGGAAAGCTCCAATATAATTCATAAATATATATTAACGGTTTTTTTTATAGTTTATGCAAAAAATTGGCAACGGTTAATGAAATAATGATATCTACCACTTTAAACACTTTAGGCGACAATTCGGTAATACAATTTTAGCAAGTCAATAATAATTAAAAAAAAAATCGTCCCTGTATAGATTTTGGCAAAGATTTTTAAAACCTTAACATTCTGTCATGTCTTGTAACTATCAGCTACACAATTAAAGTTATTTTTAAAAATTTATAATGTTATTTTAAAAGCTATGTAAGCTATTATAAGCTATTTAAAAATTATCAAATTTGGAAAACAATATAAAATACTTGTATTAATCTAATTGCCACCAGAAAGGTGATAGATTAACTATTTGAAAAGTATCAAATTCGAAAAACAAAATAATTATCCTCATACAAATTTCTCAAAGACTAAAAAAAAATGCCATAACCAAAACTATTATACAAATCGCGCAATGGTTTGACTTTGTTAGTCCCTAGCTTATACGGGCCGTTCAAAAATGAACGTAATTTTTTTTATAAGGCATTTTTTTAATACACATTTTAAGAAATAGATTTTTGACAACTGTTTTGAAACCAAGACCCACTAGATCAAAACTTCGCACTTCCTGAGTGAAAAAAAAAATACTTTAGTAAATTCTTCACCTATAAAACACCGTCTCGGATGACTGATTCCCATATTGATGACAGGCAGAGACCTGAATCGCGGTTAAGATTGTTAGGTTGCTTATAGATTTCTATAGACTCTCGGATTTTTCGTTGGTAGAAGAACTGATTACATGCAAGATTTTTAGTTTTATCGAATAAAATTTTATGTCCGGTTTCGTGATTGTGTTCGGTAACGGCTGATGAGTTTGTTTGTCTTAGTCGTAAGGCTCTTTCGTGTCCTTTGAGCCTAGTTGATATTTTTCGTCCGGTCTCTGCCGCATATGCATGCAATGCTGTGAACTCCTGGCATCTCAAATGGAAATTATGTCTTTGACGGACCGCAGGTTTTTGAATAAATGGTAAATCTGGTTTTGACATTATACTTTAGAACTTTTGATATGTGGTCAGTGTTGTTTTGAATGTAGGGAAGGACCACAGTGGCAAGTGTAGGATTGCTTTCGGCTTCATTGCTATTGCAATGCAATTTTGTCTTTGACTGACCGAAGATTGAGAAATTTTTTCGGCTCAGCAAAAACCGACGCAGGAAGAATCCAGAAGTTTTGTAAAAAGTATTACAGTGGCCTGTGGAAGTTTCTTTGAAAAATCTTAACTTTATCTTTTTCCCTTGCAGGCTCCATAATGTTCCACGTGCGCCGTAGACCTGCCGATTGTGCGCCGCGGAAAAGGAAAAAAAAACCGGGCGCCTTGGGGAGCACCAGGAACGACGTCAGGGCAGCTGACGCCCCGCTACTGATCGAACTTGGTCCTGACGGATCAGCACCCCATCCTGGCGACGCTAACAAAACCATCAGACTCGTTAATGATGTCATGGAGGTAAATGTTATTAAATATATTGATATGGATGGATAACTTCTGCAAAAAGTCTGGAATCTAACAACCATAGTCTCGTTACGTCATCAGATTGTTCAACATGTGCCATTTAACACATTTTAACCATTCAAACAAATATAAAAATATGCCGAAAACAACAAAAGGATCCATAAGGCCGAACCTCATGAACCAGTACCGGAAATGAAGAATTTTGACAATGATTTTGATTCAAAAGACTCTGAATTACACTAGATTTTAATAGAAAACGTAATTTGTCTACTCCCTACTCTAAAATACATAATTTAAATGTCACTTTAACGCGTCAGATTCTTTTAACACTGACGAACTTTCAAAAAATATATTTAAAAAAAAAACAATTTTGCTTTAGGTATTTGTACTTAACAGGATGCTTGTATTTTCGTGGACAAGTGAAAACTTATTTTATGGAACTTTCTACACATTTCTAAATGTTGCAAATAATAAACTGTCTTTTTAATTTGTTTTATTTAGTATTAGTATTTTCTAAACGATTTGGTCTTTATTTTAGAAAACCGTTTTATTTTTTGTATTAAAATAACAATTAAAATTTAAAGAAATATTAGAGTTCATATCATTTTTACAATGGAAAGTAAGTACTAAATTCTATGAAATTATAAAAACAAAGTACTTCAATTTGAGAAAAAAAAAGACATAACAATTATTCCATCTAATTTTTTTTATGTTAATTTTTGATGGCTCTGTAATCATTTGTCAGTATTTTGTGGAAAGGTCACTTACATTGCGTCACCATGCTTGGACAAAATTAATCAGTTCTTTACTTCCTCCGTCTCAGGAAGCTCTGGCAACCCCGGGTTTTTGTAGTGGTCTGGAGATATTGAGAGCAAAAGATCCCTTATTCCAGATAATCTCTGTAATTGACTAGGAAATGCGATCGACGTTTCCATTAAACTTACAAAACTAGGCATTCAATATTTCAAATGGCGCGCACAGAGTGAACGAACAAAGACGCTTTTGAAGTTTTCCGTACACGTAGTTTTAAAAGGGAAACGACCGTCGGCGTGCTTATCAAACCTCTTGAATGGCGTTCCTTCTCTGGGACCTTAATTGCCTTATAGAACATAACATAGGCTCGTTTACTTTCATCTTTTGCATGCGTGTTTGTTAACCGGTGACCGAATGCTCCGACGTAGTAGTGGATGTCAAAAATTACCGGCGAGATGTGATAATTTGCGAAATGTAATAATTAAGCAACTATTCGAACGAAAATTCTTATTATTAATAAATAAATCGCCGTTAGGTATGCACAGAGGCTACAGAGTGACCCATAGAATACTTAAGCCACTTTCATTGCTTGACATTGATCGCATTCAGACAGAAAAAGGAGCACAGAAAGTGTTTCAACGCAAAATTTTCAATGCGGTGCAAACCTTTTAAAAACTTCCCTTCACTCTCAATATAGATGATAATTAGTCTTTTCCTTTTCCTGATGACACCTTAATACCCATGGACAGACCAGATTTTTGTCACCGCTGTTTTTTACATAAACATCTGCGAAAAGTCGTCTTCATCGTTTTAAAATCCCAAGAGACTGTCGAAATGCAAAGTACACTGCAAAATTAAATGAATGTAATTACCCAAAGTTGTAAAGATATCTAAATATTAGATAATTCGTTAAATTTGTCACCATAAATTAACAAAGTTGCGAATTCTTATGGTTCTCAAAATAACTCTGGAAGGGAAAGGGAATCTTAAATCTACATTGTACATGTACAGGGTGGACTTACTTTTAATCTATCACCCTGTATATTTTTGATTTTTAAAAAAGACGAATATATGAGCATTTTTCCTGCAGTGCACCTTTTTGAATTTATTGACGATTTTTATGAATTCCGCAATTAACCTTAATTCTGAAACTGTGTATAATATTTTTTTATGAAATTGCTGTATTGATAATTATTTATTTAAATTTCTGTAACAATTATATATTGCTTTATTTTTAAAATAATATCATTTGACACACCTTTTTAAAAATTAAATAACTGATTTTATATTAAATAATGCAAATGATTTATTGCATCCCGAATTTGTTGTTGTTATGCAAAAAATTCTATGAGCTTATTTTTATATACGTCTTTTAAAGTGTCCCCCAAATAGAAGTCTAGCGAGATTCAATCCGGGCTCTTTTGTCATTTTGCCCAACACATTGTCGAAAATTTCCATTTAAAAATAAGGAGCGCCATCTTGCCATTATTTTCTAAAACATATTACTCAGAAACCCGAAGATAGTCGCTAATAACGGTGCCTTAAAATATAAGGTGTTTCCTTTAAATAATATATAACTTGATTTGACCACCCTGTGAAAGAGTACAAAAAAATAAAGATCTTTTACCGGAAACAAATTTTGTATTTCATTTTTTTTATAACACTTATCATAAATTTTCGGGTAAGGTATAGGTATAGCTTTAAGGACAGTGTGGATCTGGTTATATAGATTCTTCGTGCTTGGTGTTTCAAACCTTTCAGAATGGCAAAATATAATTAAAAAATACTGAAAATTTACATTCATTTTTTTTTTTGATGGAGTGAAGGGGTGGGGGGCCAAAAAAGCAGTTTTGAGAATCGCCTAAAAATTGTCGGACAACCCTCGGTGGAGTTGGGATTAATTATACAAAAACTGTTATGGTGTATTTGTCACACCGGCTAATGTTACTTTGAGATTAGAATCGCTTTCGTGCCAGGCCCGCTTCTAACAAACTTGTCCGAAACTCAAGGAAATCTAATTAACATTGCAACGGAAGGAAACTCGAAATTCGTTATTAATTAAAACCAATTTAATATCCTGGAAACAAATTTACGACTGACGGCTAATTGGAAGTGGCCGTGGCCAAATTATAAGCACAAACGACAAAAAGGTTCCTTAAATTGACGCATTTTGAATGTAGTAAAACAGAATTTGACGTTTGTCCGCTATTTTGTGACGATTTCGCATCTCGAATCCGGGGGTTTTTCGAGATACATTCTATTTTTTATTATAATACGCAGAGGCGCTAGTTGCACCCTATAGTCTCCCTGTTTCTATTTTGTTAATGCAGTTTTTGTAACTTTTATTTAGATTAATTGTTTTCTAATCCATGATCTTAAATTTTCTCCTCTTAATGCAAATATAAAACGTCGTGTTTCTTCGAAATAAATGTACTGTACTTCTTTAGTTAGAATTCATTTAAAATCGGTCATAAGTTTCAAAAACTGAACTAACAATAAAGTTATGACATGAATTAGCGAGATTATAAAAAAATGGACTGTATATCTGATATTTGCTGATCTGCTGATATCTGTTAATGAGCGACATTTTCCTAATGCATAATTGCTTTTTTTCGCATTCGTTGCGGACTACAATGTATATTAGGTCAGGAAAGGTCAGGAAATTTACATAAACATATTTGTTTATGTAACATGTAGCAAACATATCGTTTGCGTTTTGTTGTTTTTTTTTTTATATTTTTTTACACTTATCTAAATAATCCTTCTTCAAGCGGTATTAAAAAAAATATTTTATGTGTGTTATTTGTCACATAAACTCGGAAACTTATTTTATAAATTAGGGAAATCTAAGAAAAACTTGAGAGACTCAAATTCAGTGATTGGCCATTTAATTAAATAACCGAGTTTCTAATACGCACTTTTAATACTCAAACTTATATATCAGTCTTTTAATTATGCAGTTAGTAATTCTTATTTTCTTGTGATCCAGAAATTGTAACCAACCGCGACAACAAAAGTTGCTTCAATTTTCAATAATCATAAGAAAACAATCATTGGGATTTAGAATAAAATAAATTAAATAATGTTTTAAAAAATATATTTGATATTTTAAGAAATATTCAGTACGTTTTTCGAGGATATTTCCAGGTATAATCTACACGAGAAGTCAATTGGAACAGCATAAAAACTAAAACTCAGGTTGTAGACCACATTTTTTTCATGATAATGATAAGAAAAAAAAAACTGTCAAGAGCGCAGAATGAATTAATTTATTTCTTTTTTCTCTATGTTCAGATCCCTGTGGTCACGCCGCTCGTAAGTAGTCACAGGTGACTAGTCTAGCCAGGCAAAATTAATTTGGCCCCCAACTGGGTCATAACGTTGAATCACTTTTACATGGATTTATTACAGCTCTTTGAAATCACTTCATAAACACCATCAATTCGACTAGCTATTGACATATTTAACAAACACGGCTCTGAAGGGCATTATCGTATCCCCTCTCAAATTTTACTAAGACAAAAGTTAACCTCACATGGACCGGAAAAGGTGATTCATATGCTGTCAGTATAGTCTGATATGATACTTTTGTAATTGTACTTGTTGCAAGGTTGGTTCTGCGAACGGAATAGCCCTGCAACTGTACGGTCCTCACATTCAACCCAGACACTGCGTCATCGCAAACACCGATGGCGTTACATCACTGATGCCCTGTCACGCAGACGCGCACACTTACGTCAACGGTCAGCGCATCCACCAGACCACTATCCTCGCCCACGGCAGCTTGATTAAATTCGGAAACAGCAACACCTACAGGTAAGCAGTGCGCCCCTTAAATATCTCAATATAAAGACGTTTTATACTTTGTTGAAAAATTGTAGTCACTTTTAAAATTATTACGTCAACAGCATAGATAAAAGATGTAAACAGAAATAAATTGCTCCTACTGTGTTGTCAACGTGAGTTGACGAGTACGATTACTTTTCTTCTCGAAACCGGTTTCAGTTATAGTATGTATTATATATAGTATATATTATAAGTTCGACGCAGGAGGAATCCAGAAGATTTGTAAATACTAATTTTTAAACTTTTGAAAGTTGATTTCGGTCTTGCATTGGATTCTGTATAATTTATGCCTCCTAAAGTTAGTCTGATTGGCCATTATTGCAACTTTCCATCGACTGATATCTGCGTTCCATTTATTTTATATCTTAGTGGAACCTCTCAGCTTTGCTCCTCACTCACGGTAACAAGATTTCCCTAAATCCTATTGACATGTTTTCTGCAATATCTTTGGATATTTGTTGTTTATACCATCAGTAAATGACACCCAGGCATCCTTTTCAGATACCATCGTGGTATTCACAAAGTCTTAATCTTTCATTCACCTTATTTGAGGACCTACAAAAAGTACCTGAAAGAGCGGAAAATTTTCCACAATCGGTTTGAGAACAGTGCTAGGAATGAATTGGTTTCATTTTGAAAATCGGGCAACTATTTGTTTGGTCTGGGAAAACAATTGAAGTTATGGTTTCTTCGAAAAAACTACCTACAAAACGAGCTGTGGTTCACGTTGCGATATGGTTAATAAAAATTATGCGGAATCAAATGACGCTATAAAGAGGGATAAAATGCAAAAGGAAAATTCTGAAACCGTTAATACCATCAAAATGGAATGACGCTACGAGGACGAATGACAGTTTTAACTGTCATTTGTTGCGACGCTGGCGACAAGCGGTTGTAGTGCAAACTACAAGAAATTGGCTATACATAAATATTCTGGATTCCTCCTGAATTCGTTATTGCTGAAATGAATTTGCTGACGTTTCGCCAATCACCTTGTCGACTTGGTCAAACCTAACTAAAACTGGCTGGTACCTGCTTATACCGCATGACACAAGAAAGTGCGAACACTATAACTTTTAAAGGCTTGAGATAACGATTTGAAATTTGAATTTGAATATAGGCTGAATGTCCAATTTTTTGACAATATGCAATTCCGGTTTGAGCGGAAACGACAGTAACTATATTCTTTTGCATTTTTGGATTCAGGGGATTATTTATTCTACGTAGGTCGGCTTTTCTCATTTTTTTTAATTTTCTTAAATTTTGATTGAATTTTTGAAAATTGTGTCTAGGAGGCTGTGAGCATCATAAATACTATTTATTGGGTCATCTGATCATGGGAAAAATTGTAAATGAAACTTTTCTTGGCAAATAGCATTTAGTATAATGAACTATTATTTTTTTTGGATAACCTAGTTTTTTTAAATAGTCCCCTAGTGGGAACAAAAACGTTTTAAAACCGGTACTTTTTTTGGAACATTTTGACACCAAAATTTTAAAAATACGTTAAAAAATAAACTCACATTAATAATATTAGGTTGTTCGGAAAGTCATTTCGTTTTTTCCCGTCAGAGGACTTAATTACGTTTTTTCGAAACCAACTTCACACTTAAGCCGCATAACCATTATATGTCTTGAGAGCTGATATTGCAAGGTTTGTGTGTGAAAAAGTTCTATTAATTCTACGCAGTAGTTTTTGGTTGGTGCCCTTTTAAATATGGAGAGCAATAAGCAGCATTTTCGTCATATTTTACTTTTTTACTTCAGAAAAGGTAAAAATGCTGTCCAAGCGAGAAAAAAATTGACGGATGTGTATGGAGAAAGCGTGTTAACAGTACGCCAGTGCCAGAACTGGTTTGCAAAATTTCGTTCCGGCAATTTTGATGTCGAAGATGCACCACGGTTTGGAAGGCCGGTCGAAGCTGACAAAGATGCGATAAAGGCATTAGTTGATGCAAATCGGCGAATAACCACACGAGAGATCGGTGAGAGATTAAATTTGTCGAATTCGACTGTTTATGGCCATTTGAAAGGCATGGGCTTAACCTCGAAGCTCGATGTGTGGGTGCCCTATGTTCTTACGGAACGAAATTTGTGTCGTCGCGTTGACGTGTGTGATTCGCTCCTCAAACGTCAAGAAAATGATCCATTTTTGAAGCGGATTATTTCTGGGGACGAACAATGGGTTGTATACAACAATGTTAAACGCAAGAGGTCAAGGAGCAGAAAAGATGAACCGGCTCAAAGCGTGTCAAAAGCCAACATTCACCAAAAAAAGGTGATGCTCTCCGTTTGGTGGGATGTCAAAGGAATCGTTTTTTTTGAGCTTTTGCCGGACAATACAACGATTAATTCAGAAGTCTATTGTCATCAACTGGACAAATTGAATGATTCACTTAAAGAGAAGAGGCCCGAATTAATTAACGGGAAGGGTGTAGTGTTCCACCAGGATAATGCGAGACCTCACACAAGTTTGGTCACTCGCCAAAAACTTTTACAGCTTGAATGGGACGTACTGCAACATCCACCATATTCTCCAGATCTGGCGCCTTCCGACTACTATTTGTTCCGGTCCCTGCAAAATTTTTTGGATGGCAAAATCTTTACCTCAAATGAAGATGTCAAAAACCACCTGAACCAGTTATTTGCCAGCAAGGACCAAAACTTTTATGAGAGGGGAATTATGTTACTGCCAGAAAGATGGCAAAAGGTGTTGGACCAGAATGGCCAATATATAATTTAATAAAATATTTATTCATTATACGAAAACTGTCTTTCATGTTCCCCAAAAAAAAACGAAATGACTTTCCGAACAACCGAATATTACTTAGGTGGCTTTGTATTCATTATTAATTGTCCAGTCGGTTAGATTAAAAATGCAGAAAAAGAAAGAAGAAAGAAAAAATAGATTAGTATTTAAAAAAATAATGAAATTCAAGGGAGTTTCTTCTGAAATTCAACTATTAGAATTTGTTTCTTGAACGTGTTTTATTATTGGCATACTGGGATACAGTCAAAAACTAACGTAAGTGTTGTATGTATACGTACGTCATAAGCTACAAGCACCCTTTACCGGAAACTCAGAAGAATAAGGGAATAAAATTTTTTCAAACATCACTTTCTGGGATAATTCAACGCAAGATTTCGAAAATCTGGTATATCAACGTATGGTTATGAGTGTTACTATAAGACAAGTTTTACATTGACACAAAACATCACGTTCTTTTATTTTGGAACTGAAGTTTTGTATTTATTCGAATTAAGTAAATGCTATAGATATTTATAGATATTATTATGTTTTCAAAATGTCCTCCTTTTTGTATACGACACTCCCTGGCTCTAGAAATTACATTCGTTGTAACATTTCTGGAGTTATACTATTAAATGCATTCGATATTCTCCTCTGTAATTCCTGTAGGTCGAACACTGGAGTTACATAAACACGGTCTTTCGCGAGAGGTAAATCATCTAACGACCCTTCAATTTCATTTTTTAGGAAATGCAAATATCTGGCACCAGTTAAGGCATTATAAAAAAAAACAGGTTCAATAATTCGCCTTCCTACATGTCTATCTAGCAGTCTTCTTACAAATACAGTTAATGAAGGTTATACTTAACTTGTGAGCTTATATTTTAACGAATTTTGAAAATTTTAGTGTTAAAATATTGCAAAAAAAGTACCTGTTTTTGTTCCTACTAGAGTGCTATTTGAAAAAAATAGGTTATCCTAAAAAATTAGTAGTTCATTACATTAAATGCTGTTTGGCATTAGACAGGTAAAGAAAAGTTTCATTTACAATTTTTGCCATGATCAGGTGACCCGGTAAAAAATAAATTTAACATAATCATTTATTTCTTTTCTTTATCTATGGTCAACAGGTTTCTGGATCCGGCCCAGGAGGACCGAACAAGACATCCCCCGACGAACGTCGATGGAAGAATATACGAGAGGTAATTATTTAGCGATCATTGCGGTGCATGCTCTATGTCTGGTGTTACTGACTCGCAGCATTGTCATTTTACTCGCCCACCCGTTGTCATATTTTGTTTTGCTTATTTTTGTTTACGTTTTTACTTTTGCACATTTATAACAGCCGGTCGCCGCGAGCCCTCAGCCCTAACGACGCCTCTAGGGAGAATATCGAAACCACCTTTGACATTGACGGAAACGTAGAGACCGTCTCTATGACCAGCGGCGCGAGAGAAGACAATAGATCCTTGGGATCCGATACTAGATCGGAAAATAGGTAGGGCTTCTTTTTCATTTGCTGTTTTTACATTTCGAATGATTTATTGTTAATTTGAATGGTGCATGTTGTCCTAATATTCAAAACTAATTAATATATGAGGGAAATTGGTATAGGTAATTGCCGCCTGCTATCAAACCCGACACTAGGTTTGAGAACGAAGGTAGGAATGAACTGGTTTCCGCTGTTTCAACTATTTAAACAATTTGTTTCGTCTGGAAATGCAATTTTGTTGATTTGAAGCTTTTGAAGTTATGGTTAAAAAAAAACACTACAAAATGGGCTGTGGTTTAAGTGAATCGACGAAAAACCCATCCAAAATGAGTGTTTTTTTTTTAGTTGTTAATAATTGTTAATGAATAGTAGCAGAACGTATTATACGAGCTCTATACGCCAACAAAAGGAGCCTCTTGTGTAATAAAAATTGCCCTGAAAATTTTATGTTAACATTGTCAATATTTTTCGTGCATTTGATTTTTTAATAACTTTGTAGGGTTTTTTAATTGTTTATCTGGATTGAACCGGAAGTGCCACGGTGAAGGGCTCTAACATAAATCAAAATTCAATCGTTTAAATCGTTTTTCATTTGAGGATTCATATTTTCCGACCAATGAAAAAAAATTCTTAGGTTAGGTTTTTTTTTTCTATTAACTTATTCACTCAAACCACAGATCATTGTGTAGGGATTTTTTTAAGTTCACCATTTTTACATGAATCTTTGTAAGAAATTGTAAAAGAACTGTTTATTTAAACGGAACCGTACGATGGGGCTGAGCGTAAATCAAAATTCAAGGCTTATTTTAGTAATATATACCAAATTGTTCGAATCATTTTTTATTTCAGTGTTAATTTTGTTGTTATTAATATTGGAAAATGATGCCATTGTAACGCTGATAACTGGTGGTGATATTCAATTTATTCAACTTAATCCACAACAATAACATCGTTATTGCTAATTTGGCAACTAGGTAAAACAGAAGTTTAAATATTAGTATAAATATAATAATAATAATAATAATAATAATAATAATAATAATAATAATATATGGTTTGGAAGCATTGAAACCATATCCGAAAAAGAAAAGTAAAAAAAAAACCATACCAACAGTATAATAAAAAACCAAAAAAATAAAAGTAAGGCACCTCAATTACTAATGTCGTGAACTATACGATAACTTGAAATGTTGGTATTACATTATATATTTTGGGGTTGATATATGATACAAAATGTTTTTTCTGACTGTTTACGCAATTTGTATTTGTGTGTGTTGCAATTGTGACCAATAAAATTGTTAAATTTGTCATTTGTAATGGACAAAACTACATGCAGTTATTATATACAAGCTCCTTTCAAGTATATCCCCAAAATACAAGAGGTTTTCTCAGTAAAGTGCGCAATATATAGTTCTCTATTACTTTTAGATGGCCTAGATGAAAGTTCTGTGCCCCCCCTCATACTATTTAATAGGGACTCCACAAGGCGCTGATAGATTATAACAAGATTTTTCCTTACCATAATATTTCGCAATAGATAAAATGTATGTGTGATGCAGTTTCTTGCACTGGCAAAGTATATGTTGGTCCCATTTTAAAACTTCAAACTTTGTCGAAACTTTTTTACTTCTTAGTTGTTAATAAATGATCGCCCAACTCTCAAAACGAAACATTGGATACCAGACCATTTCTACCATTGTCTTCATGCGGTTTCTCTGAAAATCTTAATATTTACATACAATACAAAATCGTTTTAAGGCTCAGCGGAATGGATAGATATCCCAGAGGTCAGGATCCGATTTTGCCCGCGGTACTGGAATTTCCGGAAGAGCCTCAAGAGCAATTTTTGGCTCGAGTGATTACCCATTTAGACGTAACGGCGCCTACTTTCCGACTAGCTCCCGCCTATACGCTGTATCTGTGCGCAAGGTACCTCAAACAACGCAACGATAAGTTTTGTCTCATTTACAAGCACAATTTTTAGATATAGGGCATCTACTCATTATAGACCCGAATTAACACCGACCGAAAGGGCCCACAAGTTGACTTTGCTTTTGCAACACGCTGCCATGTTGATTCGACACACCGTTCAAGATCGAAGTACCGAGAGCACATCGCAGGCGTTTTGGCTGGCGAACGCCAGCGAACTTTTGCATTTTCTAAAGTCCGACAGGCACGTCAGCGCCTTCTCCCTTCAAGCTCAGGATACGCTAGCCGACGCCGTACAGTCGGCCTTCAAAAACTTAGTCGCTTGCCTAACCGACGAACTGAACTCCGGCATGAATTATCTAATGTCCGTGACGGGAGACGATCATCCGAGAGAGGTCATCAACATCTTGAGCGGAGCCATGAACTTGTTGAGGAAGTGCAGAGTCAATGCGGCCTTGACGATTCAGCTATTCTCCCAATTGTTCCATTGGATATCGGCAAAAGCGCTGTCCAACGTTATCAGCAACAGCAACCTCTGCACGAAAAATTTCGGCCACAAGCTCTCTAACAGATTGCACAATTTACAGGCGTGGGCAGAGTCCCAAGGGTTGGAGCTCGCCGCCGAATGTCACTTGGCTAAAATCGTTCAATGCGCGCATTTGCTTCAAGCCTCCAAGTACACGCCCGAAGATTTAGCCAACCTATCGGCGGTGTGCTTTAAATTGAATTCGATGCAGCTCGGAGCTCTTCTGATGCAATATAAATGTAAATATTCGGGTAGTGTAAATGCGCATCGCTGACCATATTTATTTTAGCTGAACCTGGGGAGAAGATCGCGTCTGCTTCCATGCTCGAACAAGCGGCGAAGGCTGCGGAAAGTGTCGCGGACGAATTGGCTCGAGCCGAGGGCAGAGAAGTCACTCTATACGAAGATCCCGCGCCGTCACTTCAACTCCTCCTTCCCGATGACGGATTCAGCTGCGATGTCGTTCAAGGCGTCCCCCCAGGGTTAGCGGACTTTTTACATCCGCTACAGGCAGCCGGATTGTGCAGGCTCGCGTCACAACCGACCAGTTCCGGACACTGGACGGTTTACATGAACGCCCCCCGACCACCGTCTGCTTTAAGCACGACTCAACCGGAAGTAAGCGAATGCAATTAATTGAACTGAGGTGGCTTTTACTTGACGAAAATCCATTTATCAAAATAAATAAGAACTAAAAGTTGATGGAGATTAACAAAATGAGACATTCAAATAAATGTATTGCTTAACGATCAACAATTAGGTTTGAATATGGCCTGTTCATAGATATAAGAAAGTGACCAATTGCCTTCTAATTCAGAATGATTTTTACCTTATAACTTGCCTGAAGAATGGCTTGGCAGACATCTGAAATTATAACACTTATGGATTGTTTGGAAATTTTAAAAAGATGTCAAACTGCTATACGAATCCCCAGTTGCCAAAAACGTTAATTTCACTGCAAATCTATCTTTCTCATATTGGTATTTTGTTTCATTATTTTCGGGTCGATAAAATTGATAAAAAATTCAACGTCTCTTACCGACATCCTTGTGAAATTTTTTTAGCTTCCACTAACTGACCGAAATTTTAAATCATGCAGTAAACTTTGTTGATTGTTGATCCCGTTTGACACCAGCGAGTTTGTCTTCTTATTTATTAAAGCAAAATGCATATAAAAATATGCCTGAGCAGCTACTTCTATATCGTAGTGTTTACTTCCCGACGTCAAAAACAAACTGAAATTAAAAACGGCTCGCCAGAATTTACTCGAAATATTGTATGAAGTTCGGTCCGATCGAGCGTACGTTTCGAGATCTTGCACATTTGAATAAAGCTGATTTCAAATTGTGCGTCCTAAAATTTTTATATTTTTTGTATTTATAATTTTCTCATAAGTTTCGAAACCAATGAGATAAATGAACTCTATCGCTGACTTACTGTCTACATTATCTTGTCAGCTTCTGGTTGGTTTTTCTCTTTTCTTCCGTATTTCCTTTGGCCATCTATTCCGTTCTATTCTAGTGAGCATTTTAGTGTCGATGGTGGTATCCAACCTTTCCTTGTTTTGATCCTTAAGTGCATATTGACCCAAGGTTTGACTTACATCATTTGTTTGGTTCTTTTCGTAATTCTATCACTCCAAAGGAGCAGCTTAAGTTGTCTTATAACTCTTTGCCCTATTTTACTTATAGTTTTTATACAGCGTCTCTGGTTGTAGTATTTTATTGTTTTTTCACTTCACATTTACACGTTGTTGTCAGTAGCCATATATTCGGTTTCCTTTGTATTGATAACTAGGTTATAATGTTAAGCCCTTGGCCTATAATGTCTCCCTCTATCAAAAGTTCATCATCAGCAAGCAAGAAAATGTACACCAGTTGGTCTGCTATTGATAAACCAGCACTGAAAGGAAAACCATATTAGTCAAGCCTACGTAGATACAGTAAAAAGTTTAATTAAACTAGGGAGATTAAACTAGGAAAAAAATTCCGGCCACTACAGGACCGAGACAAAGGTGGTCGGTAGTTCCTCCATTTTGTAAAATCAACTTGGAGGATACAAGAAGGATTGGATTTCGTTTATACTGTAATATTAATATTGTTCCAGGTTCAAGTTATTAGACTTCATAAAGCGGGAGGCGGGATGGGTCTGTCAATTGTTGCGGCGAAAGGGGCGGGCCAGGAACGGCTCGGGATATACATAAAGTCTGTCGTACCTGGCGGGGCTGCGGATCGGGACGGTCGGCTGGCGGCGGGTGATCAACTTTTGTCCGTCGACGGTCAATCGCTGCTCGGTATTACTCAGGAAAAAGCGGCCGAGTTCCTGGTCAGAACCGGGACCGTGGTCACTTTAGAAGTCGCGAAGGGCGGAGCCGTATATCACGGATTGGCGACTTTACTGCAACAGCCCAGTCCCACGCCTCACAGGGGTAAGAATTTTTTTTATAACTTCTAGTTGATTTTTAACATAAGTATTGTGTTAAAGTATTTGTCACCAGTGTTGTTAATGTTAATGTGCTCTTATCTTGACTAGGCGTTGATTTATATAAGTAAATAAGTTTAAATTCCTAAGGAACATTTACTTGGTAATCGGTTATCTATTGAATGAAAAGTTGATGCCAAGGTGCACCTAAGAATTAACCTCAATTGCTGTAAATAATACAGTTTGTCTATTTTTCGATGTTACTGCTGGGTATCTAGCCAGTATTAGAGATAGAACGAGGCAGTTTTCACAATTTTGCGCTCGATTTTCGTGAAACAAAAGATGCCGTTTTGAAAACAGTTTTTGCTGGCTTTGCTTTTGATATACAGGGAGAAGTACCTTCAGTTACGCTTTGCATCATCATCACAAACCGAATCTCATAGATCGTTTTACGTGGAATACAGTAGCGTACTCAGTTTATTATCTATCACTTATTTTTATTAAAATTTATAATGGCGATATGACTAACCCCGATAAAGCATTTTACTTACCAGAAGAACAATCAGACATGATCACGTAACAAAATGTAATAAATTCTTATCACTATTCTAACACAGGGCGCTCAGATTTTACACTTTAATGACTAGAATAAATCATAAACCGAATCTCATTGATCGTTTTACATTTACTCCAGTGGCGTACCTCAGTTTATTGTTAAAGATATAATTTTTAAGATTTCAGCAAAAGTTGTGTTTATTTTTACAATGGAACACTGCCAGACATTTTTCTCATGATTCTGATGATCACGAATTTGAACGTTTAGGAAGATAATGGTCTAAAATGTAAAATCCAAAATTCCAATCCAAAAAATTTATAATGTTTGTTAATGTGCTTCCCTAGAATTCTATAATATATTTCAAAAAAGAGTAATCCAGATAACATTATTGTTGAGGTTTATGGCATATAGCTATTAGGTAGATTGATAAAATTATATGCCTCTACATTTCACCCACCCAACTGCGCTTTGCGCCATTTTCTTTCTGACTTGTTTTTCCCGAACATTTAACGAGATCTAGGCATATTTTCACAAAATATTGCCGTAAAAAAGCCTCATCCAAACTTATTGACGATGTGTCCGCGTCCATGTTTGTTGTTGATTGCTAAGAGGTCATTGGTTGAAAACGTCACATTACTTTCTGATATTTTTTTTAACAATTTAGACAGTAACCATGGAAACATTTTAATTTTTTTTTTTTGTATTCTGTAGTTTGTATTTTTTTTATAGTAACAATATGTTAAGTGAAATAAAATTAGAGTAGATTGGAAGTATATTTACCGAAATGTCAAATTATACGTTTATTTAGACAATTATACATTATTAAAAATAAAATATATAAAATGTATAAAACGCGCGATCAATTTTTAAAAAAATATATATATTGTTTTGAAACTCGCATCTAGTATATATAGCAGTGCGAAAACCGTATCGTTGTATTATTCTATTAATGACTTGGATACCTAGCAATAACAATGAAAAATTGAAATACTGTACATAGTATTTAAATTTTCAAGGCCCTGGTATCTGCAAATTTTCATCCAAAACGGTGTGAAGGAAATATATTTTTTTATCATATATCTTGCGTCGGTTTTTGTTGAGTCGAGCTAGCTAACCTTTCGGCAATCGTTCTGTTGGTTTCTTCAGAGCTTGACTGAAACTGGCTCGCGTGTATTTTAAAATGGAAAGTTGAGAATGGGAGGTGATAACCCATGATTCAAACAATATAAAAGCAGGTACATAGTAAAATGCGAGCCAGTTTCAGCCAAGCTCTGAAGAAGCCAACAGGATGATTGGCGAAACGTTAGCAAGTTCTACTCAACAACAACCGACGAAAGAGGAATCCAGAAGTTTTATTTATAAAAAGTATTACAGTAGCCTGTGGAAGTTTCTTTGAAAAATGAAGGAAATATATTTATGAAATTTTGTTAATCATACTTTAAAAAGTTAAATCGATCGTATGAAAAGTTGATGCCAAGTAACAAACCAAAAATAACAATTAACATAATTGCTGAAATGGTATATTTCTTGCAGTGCAGCGGTTGGGAATATTTGATAAAAAGTGAAAAAATAAGTTGTATGTTTTTTACAATATTTATTCTAAATAGAAAAATATCTTTCAACAGGAATATGTTGTCAGTATCACCTACGGAAGTATAAATACGGAAAGTATTCGTTTTTTCCGCTTTAAGCTAGCCGTAACGTTATCGTAACATTGTTGGCAGTACGCTAGGATATGTTTCTAACATGTTTGTTGGTTTCTTTCCCGACACGCAGCTTTGGATTATAACTATTACGACTACTATTACCACGACAGTTACGTAGGCTCGCAGGAGTCGTTACACTCGCAACACAATCGTCGCATTTTTACGCCGCCCGCGTCAAAGCCCAAGCGAAACATATTTTTTAGCTCCGACGATAGTCTGTTCAAAACGGAGAAGCGCAAATTCGTGATACCTCGCATCGAAATCCAAACCGACGAACCGAAATTTAGTTTACAAGTGACCGATTTTTCGGAACCGGCACCCAAAAATGTTACCTTATCTTACGACGAAACGGGTCAGAGCATGCGTACCGAGAAAGTCGAAGCGTTTCATCCCAACAGAGCCAAAAGCAGGGCCTACGAATTCGCTCAGCAGAAAAGCTTTTCGATAGACACCAATCGAAGCTGTTGCGATATTGACAAAATAGGCGTGGCTGACAAATTCCTGAGCATCGGCACTAAGAAATTTGGCCAGCAGAGGGCGACGTCTAGTAGCATGATAGATCTGTCCAGTTCCAACTCGAGCATAAACAGTGGAATATACGAGTCCAATTTGGACTTGAGCCAGATCGATCCGGACACTCCCATAAAACATTGGAAGAGTCCTTTCGAAATTAGACACGCCAAGGACTTGGCCAAGGAGAATAAAGCGACGAGCGTGCCCATGCTGAATAAACGGCACTATTTTAGCAATAGGAGCAAAAGCGTGAGCGAAGAACGCCTGGGTGATAAGTTGACCGAGTACGAGAGGCTCGAAATTCTTAAATTGCTTCACGATTGGAGCTTGAACGGCTCGGAATCAAAAAGCGATTTTAACATAAGCCTGGCAAGATCCAAGTCCAGCGAAAATGTCAATGAGTGCGGCACTACACTGAAGGACAATAAGTTTCTGTCCGAGCCGAATCTTCAAACTCTGTCGAACGTAAACAGTACATTGGAGAAGCCCGCTAGGTTTAATTCTGATTCGTCAATTTTTACTCACCAATGTCAATTTAAGAACTGTATTTTTAATGACGGGACCAAATCCGAAGACTTGCCCGCTATTTCTACGCCTAGCGAAAAGCCTAATCTGAAAAGTATCCTCAAGAACAGTCGAGAAAAACTGGACGACGTTAAATGCCTGAGCAACATAACGAACATTCCCAAGTCGCCTAAACTCGCCCCCAAAGACAGGAGATTCAGCGAGGTGATCGAAACCAAAAAGCCCTTCAACAGCGACCTGGTCCGGTGCGACAGTTTGGAACGCTTGACGCAGCAAGCGGACAGGCACAAAAAATTTCCCGAGTCGTACATCGTCGTTAGGAAAACCGGCTCCCGCAACCAAAAATACAAAAACAACGAAAACTCCTCGAGACCAAAGTCGCCCAAAGTGATTTTGATGCGCAAAAAATGCATGCCTAAAACGTGGAAAAGCTGTTCGGATATCAAATGCAAGAAAACGGTGAAGAAATGCTGTCGGTTGGCGAAGAAAAGTTGTCCGGTGTCGAAAAGCTTCGCGGAATGCTCGCCAGAGGCCGCGAGGAAGGCTCAAAGTTGCGCATCGATCGAGTGTTCCGACACTGCCGCTAGGTTAGCTGCCGGTTTTTCCCCTTGTCCTGGCGCTTCCGATCGTAAGATTACGATTACATGTTGCGCACTTTTCATTTTGGTTTCGTTTCGCTTTGGTCGCCTATTCTATGCAATCGTTATTTGATTTTGTTTATTGTTTTGTAGCTTTTATATCCGCTGTTCCTGAATATCATGTGCTTAAGGAAGAATTCTTTGGTGTATGCCGTGAGTAGATAAACAAAAGGGGTTCTGCAACAATGGAACCTCAAAACACAATCGCTCCTTCTAGGAGGTTCTGCGCCCCCGATACTTGTACGGTGTGCTGCGCCCCTAAATGTTGCTCATCAATAGGTCCGAAATGCTGGGAATTAAAGCAAGTGATTATATCAACGCCCACATTTAGATATTCAAACTTTTTCGTGAGTTTTTTCATATATATTCCTTCTCTTTTCATTTTTTATTAATCTCTTATCAGCTCATTCAAGCAGGACAAATACACGAAATGCCAAAACACAGACTAATAGTGTAATAAACGCTCACTGCAAAATCGAAATGGCTTAAAATCTTCCTTATGTACTTGACGTTTAGGAACATACTGTGTAATTTAGTTTGATGCTAGCATCATAAATTGATTTGCCAGTAATCTCCCAAGACTGCGCCTTGTAAATTCCAGCAAAAATTTTTTTATATTACCCAACCTCCGAACACAATATTTGCACAATATTTTCAACTGGCCAACAATTAATAGTTTTGGGATGTACTGCCACCTTTTCTGATTAGTTATTTTGTAAGCGTCAGTTGATTGATCCTAAAATCGAACGCGCAGGTCCTAGAAGGATGTCCGAACGGGATCTGCCGTCAAGAGTCGATTCAGAACGTACAATTCCTTCCTCAAAATCAGTCCCGGCTTTACATCAAATTCACAATCCCACCGAACAATCGAGAACCAATCAAAGCGCCGCATTTAACGACGGATACAGCAGAACATCATCAAACAACAGTATCAACGCAAATAACGTCCCTAACAGTCAAAACGGACCGGTTGCCAATCCCACAACCCTTAGAAGTAGATCGACTCACAATCTGTCACAACAAGACGGTGGATTTTACCAAAATCTTAGTATCTACAGAAACAAAGAACCGGCGCCCCAACACTTAGGTGATAGGTAAAGAATTTAACACAAATTTGTATGAAACGATTTGTCATTTTATTGTTTCGTTGCAGAGCTTCCATTTTAAGAAGTTCCCAAAACTCCCTTCAGTCGTCTCAAGCAAATAATCAGCGACCCTCGTCGGCTTATTACCCTCCTTCAGCCGCGCCCTCTATCGGCAGGCCCAACCTTCACCAGTCAATTCCCAACCTTAAAAGTCCACCTTCGACTCAAAGACTTCACTTTGACCCCATGTCAAATGCACAGCAGTATCCTCCAAATTACAACCCAAATTACACTAACCAGCAGCACCAATATTTGAGACAGACCCAAAACTATCCGAGCCCTGAAGATGTGAACAGGTCACATTACAATTCCTCATACGGTCAGGCCAATTCTTACCCCAGCCCAACTCACAGTAACACACCAAATTATCCCAGCAATGCGCAACACCCTCTACATATTAATCCGGTAAATGGCCAGAGAATGGAAGATAGGAGTTACAATAACACTCCCGGTGGAGGACTATTGAGGGAAGACGTTTTTAGACAGTCGCAAGCATCAAAGCATGATGAAATGATGCGATATCCAAGTACAAATAATGTTAGGGTATCTGAAGCCCAAATCCAGCAAAGTAGGCCCCAAGAACATGTGGAAATGAGAAACTCTAGAAGTGATGATACCATTAAGCACCACCATCAAGGGGAAATTATGAGATTTGCTAGTAGCGGCAACATAAGAGCTCACGACGCGGGTAGGGTTGATTTGCAACCGCTCAGGCAAAATCCAGAACACGCGCACGCACATCAACAACATCGATTAAGCAATGAAGAAAGGATTCTGAGAGGTCAAGCAAAATTAGCTGAAATGGGTGACGAAGTCAGGAGACGGCAACAAAGTAGAATTCTAGGACCTCAGCACTTGCCACAAAATAATTATTATCAACAACAGCAGCAACAGTATTATAACAACATGCATTTGGCGCAAAGCATGCAAAATTTGTCTTTGAATTCGAGTCATCATCCCCAGCAACATGGTTTTCCAGTCAATCAACCTTACTATCCATCACAGACAATTTCCACAACTTCTCCAACATACAAAAGTCATCCAGTAACACCTAAATTATCAAGGAAACCTGAAGATCCGCCCGAACTGCCCCCTACAAGTACTCATCCTCTCTATTCAGCCAGTTCTCAGGATCCTCCCAAGATGGCGTTTTATCCAACTCAAACAGTATCGAGCAACAAAACTCCCAGAGACCCCTGGGCTCGTGAAGAACAGGAAAAACTTCAGGAGGCTAGAAGGGAAGCCGCAAGACAATGGCAAGAACAGCAAATTAAGGAACTTATGTCCTTGCCATACAGGACACCTCAGCAGGAGGAACAACTCAGAGTATTGCAGTTGGAAAGAGAATTCCAGAGGCGAGCTATGGAAGCGAACGAGCAAGATGATGAAGATACTGAAAAGGTTGTAGTGATGTGGATGAATTTTGGTTTATAATTTTTCTTAAATATTCTAGGAGAGTCCCATACCTCAGCATATGCCTCAACCAGTATCTAGTCAGACAGTGATAAGCACCGTGCCTTCCGCGACTGTTAGCAGCAAGCAAGAACCCTCTCAGCTACCTCCCACCTCAATATTGAAGCCTGGAGTGACTAATACTATGTCGAACAACATATCAGCTATCAATACTAGCAACTTTCACAACTCTCAACTCAATCAGCCACTTAATCATCGACAACCATCACCGACGGAGCCGCTGGCGCCCCCACCTCCCGAGAGAGGTTCAAGTTTTGCCGTGATGTCTATGAGAGCCAAGGAAGGCACTAAGAGAGTTTCGTTCGACACTTCCAACTCCGCGACAACTCCCCAACCACCCCCCAACAATCTGCCACTGGAGCAAAACTTAAGGGAAGACCCAAATGTAAGTTTATTTTCCTTTATTGTCTAAAAAGATCACACAATCGCACAGACAACTTTTAAACTGCCAACTCCAATTAAATTGAAGCTACCAACGCATTAAAGAGTTTGAAGTTCCTTTATCAGGTACGTATATCACAGTCATTTATTATACTATTATATTATTATATATATTAGCAGCAGTTTCATGAGATATTCCATTAAAAAAAAAAAAAAAAAAAAAAAATGCTTTCCGATAAAGTTTAATACACAAGGATTTAGGAATAAGCTATTCATCCATGCGAAGAAGTCTTCCTGGTTTCAAAGAACTGTCCATGCAATGATTTTGGACACATTCCAGACAAAAAAATGGCTAAAAATAGGTTTAGGGTAAAGTTAATACTTTTTGCTCAGAATTGAATTACGAACTTACTAAAATCGAAAATTACAAGGTCCGTTTGAAAAAAATATAATCATCAATCAAACTTGACAAAAAATAACCATTTTTTTATAATATCGAGTTGTTCCTTGAAGAGGGTTATAGGTAAATTGGACATCACAAACGCATAATAATTTATTATAAAATACATATCATTAATAAATAATGATAGATAACACTCTACAACTGCAAGATGTTATTTAAAACATTTTTTGACAAATCATTTAAAAAGTGGTCGATTAGCAGGTCAATTAAGAAGTGGCCAACACTAATACTGGCACCAGAAATGCTTGCTACCAATTGTCGCCCCTATAAATTTTGTAGTCTTCTCGGCTTTAACAATATAACCTTCAAAATCAAAAGGCTATCATTAAAATTTCGACACAGATTATCTTACTATAGTTGGTTTTAAAATTAAATAAAAATAATGGGTTACATTGGCAAAGTTGCAAATTTTACATTGCGCCTGCTTATAATTATGACGTACATATAGAAAATGTTTCGTTGCAATTTACAGTAAATTACAATAATGTTAACTGCAACTTTTGATGATGATAATTTAAATTTTATTCAAAATTAATAAATAACATTTTATACAAAACCTAGAAGTGTAAACATTATTCTCTGCTTAACAATATAACAATCACTGCTGAGATAAGGAACTGCCGTTGGTTGGTTGGTTTTCACATAAACGACGTATTTTAACTCTTTATATCCATGACTTGATTAAGTTTGGAGAGTTTTTTAGAAAACGATGCCTCCTACTGGCACGCCTTATTTGAATTTCAACCAAATGGAGCCACAAACACAAAATGAGCATCACGTAAGCACGACGTAAATAGAGAAGATGTTCAATGTTTGACCTTGATCCAATGTTGTTGGCTCTATTTGCTCTATTTGCCTGTAAATATTTAGTTAGTTTCTGTTATCATCTCAGCTCAACAACAATAACAGAAATTAACAAAACACTTGCCGTCAAAATAGAGCAAATCTGGCTGCTCAATTGCGAAATAGTGGCGCCAACGCCATCTTTTATTTGTCCCATTTTTTAGTTAGGAAAGCTTGGCTTACTGCCTTAGCTTACCACATGTAGTAAGTAACTGTGAGTTAAAGGACATTTAATTGGTCAACCGTGTGAGGAATTGCGTTTTAACGTTTCAGAGTTTCATTCGGCAAGCCGAATCCATGTTGGCGTCCCCAACCACTCCGACCGACGCTTCGCCGGGTACCTTGACTTCCACTCCGGGCGTGATCGGAGCCCAAGAGGTCTACCGGGATCCGAGAGCAAGACGTCTGGCCGAGCAACAGCAAAAGAATCAAAATCAGACCACGCCGGTACCAGAAAAGCTCTCGTTCAAGGAGAAAATGAAAATGTTCGCCATGGAAACCGGCGAACAAGGCACGCCCAAAGACAAGAGCAAGATAAGCCGCGCGCAACGCGATATCGACAATATAGGGTCTCCTAGTTCAGGTTTAGTGCACTGAACGATGATCGGACATCGCAATTAATGCTTAAGAAAGTCTAACATTGTGTAAATATGCAGAATATTGAAAACAAACCGTCAAATGTAGCAATTTAGACGAATTATATCGACGCACGACAAGATTTGGTTAAAAGTTTCGGTTTTGCTTAGCTCTGTAACATTTCAAATTTTTTTTAGAATAGGACAGTCGAAAATGATTTTTCCAGCTTCGTTTATTGACTGATCGTTATTCCGTAGGTGAGAGGTATTAGATTGAGACGTGTCCCGAAACACGTCAATATACTTTTGTGGAAGCATTTTATATTGCTGAATTGACCAATGAACACTAAGGGATCATACTATGCTTTAATATTACAGAAATTTTGATACATGTATGTTTGGTGTGGGGGGTTTTTCCGAAAACGTCACTTATATTGTTAGTTCCCGCTTTTATGCCAACATTTTTTGGCAAAAAAAATGATATCTAAGTACCTACTACGAATTCTGTGATATTAAATTTTGTATTTATGTTGATTTAATAACTTCAAATTTTCAAAATTTCATTCCAATTCGTAAGGTATACTTTATTCCGCAAATTTTCAAAGATTATTTTAGACCCAACTCAATGACATTCGTTTATCTCGGATCTTTTGTGACGTTAAGGTTAAACTTTTTGCAGACTTGCCATGCCAATTTGACAGGTTAACTGTATCTTCCTTTGACCTAATAAACTGTTTTTATAGAAATTCAATTCAATTAAGCCTTCGAAGTCTGTAAATTTTAAGTAATCTGCTAATTCAAATCGGTTGATAGTTTTCTCATCACAAATATATTTCTTATCGAGATTCTACTCTATTATATTATTACTACTACACAAGTAAAATTATTAAAAAATATAAACCATATCACTACATGTACCGTCCACAGTTCGAAGACCATAATTGCATTATTATCTGTTTTAAATCATAGTGTAAAAATGTAACTTGACATTGTTGTTAATATTTTACTCCAAAGTTTTGTTTCATTTCATCATTGTAATGTACAAAGTCGGAAGTATAGGGTATAGATGGATGGTGGGACTCTTTCATCCTACAAAGTAGAAATTTTTGGATTAATTGATATTAGATGAGGCTTTCCATCTGCACACAGCAAATTTATTTCTATCTAGTGGCTTAGTAGAGTGATATATAGAGTTATTTATTATTTTGTTACACTAAATATTGAAATTCTATATTACGGAATCCTCTGTTTGTTGAATATTAATCATTTTGGAAATCTATACGGAGAGGAGGAGAATATATAATGTTTCAACTTTAAGAATACGTTTATCGAGCTAAGTGATTGCGGGTGGATCAAGTTTACTGAAAATACTGGTAAACTGATTTTCTCATGGAATAGAGCAATACATTTAGCATATTGTAATGACCAATTTAATATTTATAGATATTGTTTAAAAAATCTATGAAGCTATATATATACAAATTAAAGTTGTAACTTAAAGATATATGAAGCATTCCTTTTTTATTAGCTACACATTGTAGATACTGCTACTATTTTTTCGATATTTTGACAGATAATCTCTTTATTTTTCTTTGACATAAGCAATATTATGTAATATCGTATTTATATTAATTACACTGTATATATAACTATTAATTATGTACATTGTATCGATAGTAGTTGGCGAGGAGGTTAGGATGGCGAAATTTATGATCTGTTATATATTCTTTTATTTTGGAAATAAAGCTCTATAGTCACTGTTATTGGTTTTTCTTCAAGATATGTAGAAGGTCCAGCTGAATTTGGCAGGACTTTAATTAAATTGTAAACATATGCACACAGCGAGGCTCGAATCACAATAATATCAATAGTTCATAGACAACTATATTATATTGGTTGCACTAGTTAAACAAAAAATCTTATCTATGCTACAAATTTAAATACACTGTATTATAATTTGGCCCAGCCTCTATTTTGAAAAGTATAGTTGGCACCTTACTTATCAACATTGATGAAAACAATAGTATACTAACGACGTGTTTCATTTGGAATTCCGTTTACATATTTATAACTGGGTTTTGATTTGTTTACAAACTAATTAGTAATTATTACTAAGAAGCAAGCAAGCTGATTATTAGTATAGAAGTATATAGTAATTAGATTGGAGGACAAAGATATGCTAATTGCAAATTAATACAGCATCGCATTTTACCACCCACCTGATGTAATTTTATAATGCAGCTATTCCAAATATCTCCTAAAGCTGGCGGTAATTTCTCATTCTACAACTTATTACACCATGACCATAATAAAACTATGGAATAAGAATAAAAAAACGGCCAATATTTCATTTTTGTGAACTCTGGGAACAGTAAGAATTTTTGGTTAGTTAAAATCTGTCTCACCAATTGAATTGTACTATTTTTGGTGGGATATTTAAAAATAAAAAACTTGATTAAACCTTACTTGAAAACAGAAGTAAATTAATATAAAGGAATTAATAAATAAGGAAAATGCCAGTGGAGATGTGCAGTTTGATTTTAATTAGTTATTTTTCAATGTCCGTACATGCTGGGCCATTTATGTTTTTAAGAGCGACATTTTCGCGAAAAGGAGACTGGCCAAGGCCAAGTTATGCGCATGCCCAGATTGTCGGGAATCCAGGAATAATTTTTCAGCAGATAGCAATTGTTTTTTTGGTTGCAAGTAAAAGTTTGTGAGAAAATGTGTTTTTCCGGAATGACTAAATAATGAAATTGTGAGTTATTGAATAATTTGCGTGAAGCAAGAAGTTTTTGCGGTGCTGAAAGAAAAAGTAGTTGGACTTTCTTTTGTAATTTTGATTGATGGTGTTGAATTTCTGAAATTAGCAATGTTTGTATCAAAACTCAATCAAAGTAACCAGATTGTTTTCATTTTTACGAAATCTTGATATCCGAATTTAATGAAACAAATAATTGCTGAGGATTTGATTTTGCGATTAGCATTCTTCCTGACAAAAATTAATTGGGAACCCTTTGAAGTGTTAGTATACAAAATAATTAAGTCAGCTGATGCATTATGTTTACATTTGAATGTATTAAACGCGGGATTGCAAACTTGGCAAACCTTATTATCTGGCTTGTCATTGTCGTCTTTTTTTTTTATAAATACCTAGACTGCAACCCTTTTACTAGCATATTATGCAACAAGTGCGGTAAAAGTCATCCGACTCTCGAGTTTAGTTGGCACGAACGGAGCGAGTGCTCAATAACGGCGAAAAGTGCTTTTTTTTAACCGAGCTTGAGCTTTCCTTATAAAAAATCAATTAAGAGTGGCTTCTATGCCAGATTACAGCTAGTGCGTCTTCAAAAATAATTTTTCTACCAGTTTTGGAAATTATTAATTTTTTCATCCTCCTTCGTCAAATGCGATAGTGAAATTATATAAGGCACACCGCTTAAAATTCAATCTTAATGAAAATGTATTTTATCCGAAGTAATAGTTATATTTCTGTATTATTTTGTCCGAAGCAGCTGTAGACCAGTTGTACAGTGACGTAATCCAAAATGATCCGTATGTCTTAGCATTTTTAGATGAGGATTTCAAAACCACAAAAATGCTGTATCACTTTACGACATCCAGCAATGAACTAGACAAAGATATCATGTTATGACGTAACTGCACAATGGCTCTGAGTAGACGGACTTTACCGTCCTTTACTCACGCTTTACCGTGATAAATTTCCTTTCTAAAGGCGGGCTTTCTAGTACAGTCTCTCATTCCTGGATTTTATTTGTGCCCTTTGTCCCGTCACAGTTTTTACATATCTTAAATTTAAATTTGTGGTATTTTTTACTTATTGTATTGCCGGTCTTTTAAAGATTTCTCTCTCTTGTATGACGTTCAGTTTAAAAGTGCATTTATTTTGTTTGAAGAGATTGAACCACTCGCTGCATTTTACAAACCTGCCATCCTTATCCTTCTCTCATAATAAAATATGACACTTTTAAGAATAAAATTATTATACAACTATCATACTCCACTAATAAGCACGTAAATAAACAAACAAAGATAAATATGGTGATGTTAATAATATATTTGACCCTTACATAGACATATATAAATAAATACAAATTTTCATTATATTGCACAACGGAAGTCATTTAGCATTTTGCACTTTAGGAACTTACACCATCTGACGTTAGAGCTAACGATGTTAAAGCACTACGTCTACCGGGCGTCACACCTAGGTTTTCCCAGTTGATCCAAGACAGTCTGGCTGTTAGATCTGTAAGATTAATGCCATTTAATTTTTCATGCACGTGTAGTGCGAAAGGTCTATAAATCTATAAATTTCGAAATCTAAGTCGCCAGTGTACTAACTCAATATGACCAGTAATCATCTTGGTTGCCCTAGCAATTCCTTGATTGTAAATAGGACTGGACTTTTTTTGCGTAAAATGTATGCTATTTTTTTTGGCGCTGAGTGAGTCAGTATACTCTAAATCAGAAACTATTTTTTGCATACAAAACAAATTATAACTATGTATTCTAAACTTATGGATTGAAAACTTTTAAGTTCTATTAATTATATTTTAGGTTAGGATAAATATGATGCGATTGTTGGGTCCTTATTTAACTATTTAATCAATCTAAGTAAACATTCTTACCGTTGCATTTTCGTTCAGAAAATTATTTTTTTTACGATTGTGTACGAAAGTGTCGCCTTGATGGCCTAGGAACGCCCTTTTAAATACTGCACGTTTATTACTGTTTATTGAAGTCGTCTATATGTTTTGCCTAAGATTTTCGAAAATCCTCTACCACTTTCCTAGATAATGTCATAATTTTGCAGAAACTGAGTTTTAAAAATCATGACGGTAGTTGCGCCATCTGGTGACCATTTCAGAAAGTTAAAAATAATTTTCGTATTATTACTAAAAAATGAATAGTTCATTACATTAAATGCTATTTGCCATTAGACAAGTAAAGAAAAGTTTCATTTTCAATTTTTCCCATGATCAGATAACCCTGTAAAAAGTATTTGTGATGGTCACAGCCTTCTAGACACAATTTTCAAAAATTAAATAGAAATTTAGAAAAACAACAAAAAATGAGAAAAGCCGTCCTGTCCTCCTGAATCCAAAAAGCCGTTTAAAAGTTATAGTGTTCCCACTTTCTTGTGTCACCTGGTATATTGTAACGGTTACTTGAGTTGGTCCTGTGTGGGTTTTTTTTAAATCCCTGGATTCGTAATTTCCTAGCGGTTGTCATAGAAACACCAGCCTCGACAAAATTCCGTTCGATTTTGTTGGCAATCAAAGCTAAAACCTCTGTAGATGTAAATGATGCACAAAAGCTTTAGATATTAGTTTTTTTTAGACAAACCAATGTGGATACACACATTCGATTACATCTGATGGTAAAATCAAGAAGTTTACGGTGAAAGGTCTGGCGAATATATATATATTTGCCTTTTACGATAGACAAAATTTTAAATCTGGACTGTTTCTGGCTTTTATTCAGTGCGCCATTATACAACAAAACGCGTAGTTCATAAGGACACTCCAAGTGCAGTCTGCCATCCAGTGTCGCAAACCTTAGACTTTAAATGTACACAAAACGTATAGTCTAAGAGCCACTGGGCGGCTACCTGCATGTATTTGACCAGATCTGGGTTTTTGTACATTGAGGCCCCTATACCTACTATACATGAGGTGGGGACCCACTAAGCTCAAAGCGATGGACCCAGGTACTGCGCAGGCGACACAGGTATTGATTTTTGGCGAATTTTAAATATATTTGACCACGACTGCCGTTTTGAAATCTTAAAATATATTGTTATTATTATCGAAAAATAATAATAGCAGACCATTATCATGCGGTTAACATTATGGCAGACAGTTATGGAAATGCCCAAAAAAATAAAATTTTGAAAGTATTTGCCCAGATCTGCCATTGAGATATATTATTCGTTATAGTCTTAAAAGCTTATATTAATAACGGCAGACGTTTTTCTTGAGTACACTCCTCAGTGGATAATAAAATCTTTACTACTACCCATATATGTATTACGATCGCTGTTTTACATAAATTTAACTCACTTATAATTAATTTTATCACTTTATGCATAAAATTAATACTTTTTTTGTACTTTATATACTAAAATTTATAAGATAAGATATTACGAAATAATCTGAAATCTTGGGGTATAATGCAAGTAACAAAAAATAATTTAAATCTGTATTTCAATTTTTTTCTATTTATTTAAGATAAAATTTGAAAGGTGTCGGAGTCATGTTTGTCATAGGTTAACTCTTCTTCATCATCCATTGAGTTCATATTCATTCACATCCGAAGCTTTGTAACTACTCAAGATACTACAGAGGATCCTTCCGCCAACGACTGATTTAATTCTGCGCCAATATCTTTTTTTACCACTTCATCTGTCTCAGACACGTTTACGTCTTTTACAAGATTATCAAGTACGATTGAGCTATCAGCTAATGTTCGTAGTTGCTCAGTTGCAGACAACGACGTAGTGGGTTATAATACAGCTTCTTTGTTGAAATCGGTTGCAATTTTTTCTTTAAAGCCGTAAACTCTTTGTAACAACTACTGTGATATACAGAACCAAAAATTTCGTCCTGTAGAATTGTTTCATTGTATTTCAATTTATAATGCTTTCTTAACCTCAAAATTTATCGACATTTTTCCATCTCTCTCTCTTTTGAAAATGTCAATAATTTCTCAGTCTTTGCTGTTGCACAAAAAATACACTTCACTAGTTCTTTTTCACTCGACGTAATCTCAAAGATATTTAACGAATAATAATTTAACTAAAGAATAATAACATAAAGCAACACTGTGTATTTTATTAAATTTACTAAACATTAGGCATCTGTATAGAGATTTACAAACATACTGAAAATATTCGTTAGGTTGGGATTATAACAGAGCCATCTCAGGCATAAACCCTAAATTATTTAAGTGGTATTAGCTATAAAATAAAATACTATAAGCAGGAATGAGTAGAATAGGAGAAACATAGCAGAAAGTAAAAAGATAGCTACATGCAGTGAATGCATACATCTGTCCGGGTAGTAGTAAATATTTTGTTTTCTACTGAGGAGTGTACTCAATGAAAACGTCTGCCGTTATTAATATAAGTTTTTAAGACTATAACGAATAATATATCTCAATGGCAGATATGGTCAAATACTTTTAAAATTTTATGCCATAATGTTAACCAAATGCCATTATTATTTTTCGATAATAATAATATATTTTAAGATTTCAAAACGGCAGTCGTGGTCAAATATATTTAAAATTCGCCAAAAATCAATACCTGTGTCACCTGCGCAGTACCTGGGTCCACCGCTTTAGGCTTAGTGGGTCCCCACATCATGTATAATAGGTATACGGGCCTCAATGTACAAAAACCCAGGTCTGGTCAAATACATGTTGGTAGCCGCCCACTGGCTCTTAGTATATACTAGTATATATAATATATACTAGTATTCTAAACCCCACTTACCGCTCGTGTTCCAATTAGCCCTATCGGCCTTGATTTCGCCCCTTAAACATTTCTCTACGTAAGTCAGGGGATCACAGTCCGCTGTCAGTACTTCGCGCAGGAGAGCGATGTAAGCTATCGCCAATCGTAGGGTATCGATTTTGCTAAGACGTTTCTCGTAGGGGAACGTCGGCACGTGCATCCTCAGCTCGTCGAACGCGGAGTTTATACTGCTACAAACCGGATAACGATTAGGAATACTCGAGACGGTTCGAATTTTTCTGCGTGGCACACCAAAGGGAGTTTTTTTTATATCCAAAAGCAAAGCAAAATAATATTAACTTTGACAATTAAAATCATATAGTGGTCAGAAAATATAGAAAAATTGTATTTTCGTCGATCAGGGAGTCATTTTACGTGTATGGCTCTTTTTTCCAGAATAATTAACAAGATCTGGACATGTTTTGAGAAAACGATGCCTTAAAAATACTAGATCTAACCTAAAACTTGTCACGTTGGCCAAGTGTCAGCGGCCATGTTGGTTGTTGAACGCCTTTAAGCCGAGTATTGAAATGACCTATGTTATTGGTTGAAAATGAGATCTATAATGATAACGCGGTCGCATTATTAAATGGCCTTTCTTTAGATCATTATTTTTTCATTCTCGCTGTATTATTAGCATAGGCATTAAGGTTTTCTTAGCTTATCTAGATATTTTTATTCAAAGAAATTTTCAAAATTTCCCCTTTTTAGATATTATTAAGAAAAAATCGAATCACTTAGACTTTTTCTCGTTTTAGATAAATTTCTTAAAATTTTGCCTTAAATCAAGATGCCTACACTCGATACTAGAAAAGCATTTCGATGGTACTGAGGTCCTAAATTTTTACATGGTTATTTCCAAGTAGAAATCAAAAACGTCAAAGGTCAAAGGATTAACCGGTCTTATCGCTTTTATTATCATAAAATGTTTTGCAAAGCTTTTTATTTTTATTCAGTAATTATTTTTTGTGATATTACACTTACAACTTTTCCTATTAAATCGGCAAAGTTGTAAGGACTAAGAGGAGACAACAGCTTTTTAATGTTGCCATATTCAACATTACAACGGTGTATATATTTAATAAAAAATGCAAAAGTGGTCATCTCTCAAAGTGAAATAGTAAACTCAAGAGAAAAGGAGCAACCGTGTCCTCCTCCATAATGGATTTGGATTTCTATTTGATCCTATTCGATAGCTATAATTAATTAGAAATGTAGGCAAATTTTATAGAATTTTTAAGAAACTTGGTTATAATTAGGATTGACACTTTATTTATCAAAATATAATATTCCAGGCTTTACTGGTTATGCGAAAATTTGAAACTTTTGCCTTTAAGAAAAAAATGCCAATTTTTCATAAATATTATCTGAAAAACGATTCTTGAGGCACTTTTAGGCGATGTATGCCGCGTATTTTTAATGAAAAAAAAAAAGACTAACCGCTGATATTTTTTTAGGGGAATGTATTCTTGGAGATGCTAGTTGTTTCAGCATAAAAGTCACATCTTGCATTTTCTTTGTTATCTGCACGTTACTTGATTGAAATAATCCAAGTAAAAGCGTTCCATTTCGGTATACTAAAAATTTTCGGAAACACAAATTTAATAATAATTGCAGTTTATAAAAGTCTTGCTATGAAGTTAAATGAGTTCCGGAATTACTCCCTGTATAGTGAGCTAATAAAAAAGTAGACCAGGTCTACGAAATCTTTAAGCACCGTACAATACATCCAAGATAGCACGGAGGTTGAAAATAACCGTAGAACTAACAAAATATCAAAAAAATGTTCGATAACATTTCTTAAGGCTATGATAATAGTCTTTACAAATCTTCTGGAATCTTTCTTCGTTGATTGTTAACAAATATAAGTTACAGTCATTTCCCCAATCATTCCCAGTTTCAGTGAAGCTCTGAAGAAGCCAACACGAGGATTTGCGAAACGTCGTTCGATTTGTCAACAACCGATTGAAAACTGAAACGGTTTTAATTAAACTCCGACAAAACATAAAAATTTAAAACCAGATCGCATTTACTGTAATTTATCCATCCGCGTTGTACGATAATGGAAATAAAAGTCTAAGGAACGAAAATCAATGTAAAACAAAAACTAACGGGACAGAAAAGGCGATACAAACAACACAACGACACAAGCCACCACGTATAGCAGACAGGTGTACCCGGTGGGTCCAATAGCAGACCTCAGCATCCGTTTCCTTTCTCGAATATTCGCGGCGTGTCTCTGGACGCGATACGGTGACGAGCCGTAATACTCCGAGTTGCCCAAAGTGCTGTTACCTCCGCCACATTGAACGCTGTCTGAAATAGAACCGATTTTGTATATCTACTTAGCAACCTAGCTTGGATTGGTGATTTTGAAAATGAAAACCTGACAAAAGTTTCCTCTTTCATGGATGAACCATATATTGATATTACATGGGGTGCGTTGGTACATATTTTATGTATGCTTACTCGTCTTTTAATATTTTTAATTCCTATTGTAAAATATGCTTTCTTATAGGTAGCTGCTAGGTTCACTTAACTCTAGAAAGAAAAGTTATTATCAAAATTATGCCAAATGTGATTTACAAATTTTTTGTGTCAATGTTGGCTGCTTATATATTGTTTAATAAGGGCGGAGCCAAAGAAGGGACATGAACATAGGTCGCATCGCTGATTCCCATATTTATGAAAGGTAAAGACGTGAGTCGCTATTGCACTCTCGGATTTTTCTTTGATAAAATTTTATGTATCGGTCTGTCATTATTAGGTCCGATTTTCTATTAATAAGAATATCTAACAATGGGAGATCGAGATAGAGATAGACTGATAGCTTCTAGTACAATGGAAAAACGTATGGTTTGGTGTGGTTAAGAAAATATCAGAGGGATTGTTGCCTATGAGGCCAAATAACAAAGTTATCATCATAAATATATTAGCGATGATTGGTTCTCTGATTTGAATGTATTTGAAATAATGTTGAGAGTTCCAGGAATGCTTTATTAAAGAGAGACTCTACGTCGAAACTATTCAGAATGTTGTTTGAAAATGATGTAACGGTTTTTAATTGTTCAATGGAGTGAATTAAGTAAAAAAAAAATATCAGTTTTACCTACATGGGTGATTCTGTTTTAACTGTGATTTTTTAGGTCTTATATTGTTTGTTCTTACTGGTGATTGATTAATAATGAAATTTTTGTATTAATTGGATGATCGTGCACATATTTCATTATATTTTTTATACTTTATGCAATTTGTCATTCAGAGGGAATCCACAATATATCAGGTAAATGTCATGTTCACTTCTAAAATTTATCATAAATTCTTAATTTTTTTTTGTCACGGTAAATGATACAAACTAATTACGTCCTAACTTCTTACCAAACTAAAAAAAAATCACACTTTTTTTGTTAATGTTTTAACTTAATATTGAATTTCGGTTCAATAACTTTTGTCTTCAAAATATAATGAATTTTTGAATTTGAATTTATATGACTCGAGTGCCATCTACCTTGAGATTTATGAAACGTCTTGACGCTTTGAAGTTGTAGTAAAATCCTTTCAGGCTTTTATTTTTGCAGTAAAATAAATAAATAATATTCATCGACAAATTTAATACTTATAATTTTAAAATCTTAGAAATTTTAAGCTAAAAAGCAACAACCCAGATATTTTGCCAGACAATATGCTGGTTTGTGAATTTTAAGGAGTCCGTAGAAACGAGAAGGTTAAGAGTCATTAGAAATGACCGATTTTGTCACGGAATCTAATAGAGAACAATCTTAATAGGATAGGATGTTTTTTAAGTTGACGTCGTCTTGCATCTTATTACAATTACTATGTTGGGATTAGATTCTCGAAGTTTTAGAGCTATGCCTTCAGGATTTAGATTTACGCGCGTAAGATTTTTTAAGGCATAAACTTATCAGCAGTTGGAGAACACAATCATGAAAGGAATCCATAGAAATCTTTAAACATCCAAACAATCGTAGATGCAACTGAGTATGAGAGTCAGTTTTCCGAGACAATCTGTATGCCCTTCCTTTAGCTCCGCCCCTTAAACAGTATATATAACCAGGTACCGAGTAGTTCAGGTTGAAGTTCAAGTTCAATTTATCAACAACCGATAGAGGAGGAATGCAGTTGATTTGTAAGTCATATTTAACATAATTTTGATAATTCTTCTGTTTTTCGAGTGAGTTAAACGTAACAGCCATCTATAGGAAGATATACTATAGAATGGGAATTAAAAACATTAAAAGTGTAGTCAGCCGATATACAATATGTACCAACGTTCACCATGGAATATCAATATATGGCGTACCTATAAAAAGACAAGATTTTTGTGAAGTTTTTATTTTCAAAATCACCAATCAATCAATTCAGAAGATTTGTAAATGCTATTACAATGGGCTGTGAAAGTTTCTTTGAGAAATTATGTTAAATATGGTTATTGTGTAATAGATATTTTATATGCGGTGCGGATAAACGGTTTTGACCTAATGATAATATATACACCATCTGACGAAAACGAAGCAGCTATTTTTAGGATGCAGCGATGGAGTTGACAGCAATTTTTGAAGCAGCGATATTTTATTTCATTTAAATACATAATATATAAATAATTAATAAGATATCCATTGTCCGCATTACTGGATAGTAATAATCGGCATATTTGTCCAAACCTAAACACTGTTTAGGCGACAAGAAAATAACGTTTTGAGAATGGTTCAATCATTTACCTCGATGGCACATGGCTTCACACTCATTAAACTCCATCTAAAGGATGATAAAAAAGTGAATAGTGATCTTTTAGAAGTTTTAAATGCATTCAGTATAAAAATTTGACTCTTTAGCAATATTATGGCTCCCACCGTACTATCTGTGTCTTGAATCCTACAATCCTCAGGGATCACTAATTAACCTATTTTGTCCCAATGGTGCGTTAATACGCAACCTATTCTATGGTTTTTTTTGTCACATCAAGGAAATATTTTTGCACATCCATCTAGAAATTTTATTATTATCACTACCAAAGGGCATAAAACCGTAGAAATCGCTAATTTATGTGTAAAGGAAAGATCTTACATATGACTTCAAAAGTACATAAATTTACCACATTTTCAAGTAAATCCAAAATGGTAAAAAAATATTCTTTATTTGTATTGCCATTTTTGTTAAGTCTATAGTATATAGATTACATCGCAGAAAACTTTCATTGGAAATACTATACTGATTATACTTTATTTTTTGAAAATATTTACTGGTGCGTGAATGCACCACTGGTTTTATCTGTGAAACAAAACTTTGTTATTGCAAGTCTAAACAAGTCAGCGCATGTAGATTAAACATCCAACAATTAGCGCGTTTTTTAGTATTAGTTTGTGCCTTGTGCAGTGAACTTTGCAGTTCGTAAAATATGACATTTCCCAGGTATTTGACTCAAAAGGAATCAAAGGCGGCTATTGAGGAGATTGTGATGTATGAGGACAATAACAATGAAAGTCGTAAGTATTATTTGGATTTACGTATTCTTATGTATTGTAGCTTCAACAGTCCTGTAATTCATCAACTACTGAACCTGGATAGGACTCATCAGATGATAAAACCTTGGAATTCAAAAGAGGACGTATGCTTTCTGCAAACGACTGGCTTGCTTCTACTGTCAAATGGAAGAAAGGTCAGATTGAGTACACTCACACACCCATATCCGATGAATTTAGATCACGTGAGGAACTAAGAAATAGGCTTTCTCGAAAAACTCCGCTTGAAATGTTTTTTATTTTTTGAATGACGAAGTGATTGATTTGGTTTTAAATCTTGCATTGCTTTGCGACTTTTAAAAACTGATAAAACAATTACTTAAGGAAATCTTCCATCTTCCATAGAAGAGTGCGTTATGATAATCAAGGTCACCTCATGATTGTTCTTGCTAATAAAGCCCGAAGGAGATGTAGAATCTGCCACAGCCACACAATTTACGTTGGTCATAAGTATAATGTGCATTTATCTACTTCAAGCTTTGTAAAATATCACCAAAAATGAAACCGGGTGTTACCAGTCGTGCGCTCACGCACCATAAAATATTATGCATTTTTTGTATGAGGTCAGGTTCTATTTCGAAAATAATCTGCTTTTAGTTGTGTTCTGTCTAATTTGAGCTTTTTTTGTTATATTTATGTATAAATTATATGTTACATCTTATGTACCCCAAAACATTCAATGTCTTTTCCCAGTGACACATGTAATGTATTCTTAAGTGCAACAGAATAAATAATTTCACAGCAAAAAAGTATTTTTTTTATGCTTGGGATAATATGGGTTAACTAACCAAAACTAAAATTAGCTGTAAGTTTAGATTTAAGGTGTATATCATAATCGAAAAGTGTAAATAAATTCTTAGTAATATGTTCAGTCCAATTTTGCACTACATATTTTTACATTGCCCATTTACTAGTGCCAAGCTCTTCGCTAGACAATGAGAGCGGCGCAATAAGTTTTACAGCATTCACTGTTTTAACTGTGAAAGAACTGTATCACATAGGAACTGTCATAATTACAAAAAGTCACTTCGAGTGAGGGCTGCATTAAGGTGATTTGTGCTTCTATGAGAAATGATTAGTGCGATAGTTTTTCGACTGTAGTTTGATTTTGCAAGTATTGATAATATTTGTTCTTACCTGCATTGTGGTGTATCGTCGTCAGATAGTGATGCTGAAGGTTAGCATTTGAAGATCTAGACGCGAATGCGCAGCTTGGTAAATCTTGGACTTCGTCTTCGGACAAGTCACCCGTATTATAACCAAATTGCAAGCTGCAACGTAACCTTATAAAAATGCGATTGCATGGTCTGCTTGATATAAGTAACATGTGCGTTGTCAATCGCTGCTAAGGGCTCAGAACAGGTGTATGAAAAACAGGTTTGGCCAAACAAAAAAATATAAGGTACAGCCCAATATTTTTGAAAATAATACTATAGCGGAAAGCAGCATTCATTGCGAAAGAATAATAAACACACGTTACAAAAATTGTCAAAAGTTTCCAAGATCTTTAGAACTGTCTAGCAATTTAATTCAGTGTTTAAAAATTTATAAAATACGGGGCGGTTTCCTTTTTTCCAGATATAAAAAATATCCTCTAGGTAGGTGAATTTCTATTTTTGGGTTGATTAAAATACCGGAAGTAATATCGCATATCGGGAATATTATAAAGCAAGACTACTGCTCTATGCTGCATGATGATCAAGATATGAATCGTTATCGTTTCTTTGCTTAAATATGTTTGGTTTAATTTGAGTCTTAGTAAGCCGTACCCGGTTTTGCTTATTTGTTGTTCCTTTTTTTATGCGCATTATCATTATGTTATGGTAAGACAGCTTGATTTCCTAGTTTCTCAAATGAGAAGAAGTTTTTATTCATTGTTTGGTTTGTCGTGTTTCATGTATAGTTTTAGTACCCATTGTTATTGCGATTAAATAGTTTAACTCGAAAATATCCTTTATTAAAAACTGTAACTCTTTAAGTGAACGACAACAAATTTCAAGAAATAAGAGAAAAAAATATAATTTCAGAACACAAAAATTATTAAATTAACAAAAATATTTTTTGTTAATAAAAACGTATTATTATTAAAATAATGATGAAAGAAATTGTAATATTTGTAATAATGAACATAGATAATTAATAATAAATTAATTAATCAGCTTACTTTATAGGAGGTGAGGATGATGAGTCCGGCAGCTGTCCCCGACTCATATTCACTTGTTTCTAAAAATTGGTTTCACAAATGCGACACCTCACACCACCAATCACCAAAACCGATTCGTATGGACCATATATTTGCGGAAGTCACCCTGGGATTAGAGTGATAATAATCCCGCGGGACTTCCGGTTTTATACCATAACCCAACGATAGTCTATCAGCTCGTTATTCGTAAATTTTATATGGGCGGTTTTCATAGCAGAACTCAATATCGATTAGGGGAGGTAACTTAGAATACGCAGCCAACCACTGCGGCTCCTATAATTTATCATACGACTCGTGGTTCTGATTGGTGGGCCAAAATGCGAAGGGTCACATGATGAAGGGCTCATTGTCCAGGTTTGGCGGTGACAGCTTTCCCTGTAAACGCTAAAAGAACCTTCATCTGCAGACTCCCGATATTTATTAACCGGGATATCGCGTCCAGAGGGCTGGAATTATTTAGCGGGTTTTTCTGGTGCCAGCCATGTAAAGAAAAACGTGGACGGAGCGGGGTAGGTTATTTGAATTTTTACTTACCCTTGTTAACTAACATAACTGTTATTCGTTACAGTAAAAAAATGTAAATAATGTTAATAAAATAATTAATTAAGTAAACGCAAGGTGATCTTGATGTTTTTGCTAATCTCTGTAAATAAGTATTACTCTTTGCCTCTTCCGATTAGGAATCATCCCTCTCCTTCATTCTCCTTCCCTTTGGGGGAAGTTTGTTATACCTACTTCTTTCATCAGGAGTTTGAATACCGGTTTTAGCGAATTGAGTTCCTTATATATAGTAGTATATATACTCAACCCTTCAAAGTGACGTTCATATGTTTATTTAGATGGCCCTGTCCTATCAGCACTTCTATCGGCGTACCCTTATTCAGTATCGACATCTCTCAGCGAGATATTCTTCTTTGAAAATTCCACATCGTATCAACATTGACCTGATCAAGGGAGCAATTGAACACAGAATTTTTCAAAAATTTATATATGCGGGATTTTGTTCGTGTCGCTTAGGCATCCTGCTATTCTATTGCAGTTTGTTCTTTTATTTGATCCTCTATGTAATTATCATATCATATAATTACTCTAAACTTACATCTAATAAATTCTATAGAGATTACTAGTGATTTAGTTTTTTGGCCGATGTTTTCATGTTAAATTTGTTTCCTATACCAATACAGTATCGTCGGCGTAACACAACACTTGTATTTCTTTATTAGCCATTGTATACACTATTGTTATTAAATTACACTGGTCTGCAAATAAAAATGTTTCTCTCCTTTTTGTTTTCATGCATGAATTCATCTTATTTTATGCTGTAAACACGGAATCTGATATACAAATAAGTACCACACGTAGGTATTTAATTTAATATTTATTTCATCAAAAAACAATATTATTAAAGTATAAATTATTATAAGGAAATAGAAAAATGTGGCGGCCTGAGTTTTACAGTAAAAAATCCTAAATTATATTAACAAAACTAATAAATATCGTCAGGTATTTCATTATGGAGTGATAGAATTCAAATTATTTAGTAGTTTTCTTCCTCTTCATAGATTCCATTGGAGTTTCTCGGTGAATTGACCAACAGAAATCACCAAGCATTGCTGCTGACCATTTTCCATTGTAGCGTTTTTCAATTTGCATTATATCCTGATGAAACCTTTCACCATGCTCATGTGATACAGCTCCAGCATGGATTCGTGACTTTTTTCAAGCCAACCTCTCAACGTATAGCTTATAAGCTGTTTTAACCAGATCGGTCATGACATGTCGCTGTGTTTTTAGTATGTATTCCCCACAAATGTAGCGAAAACAATCTGAGGAATTTTTACAAGTCCGTGGCATTTTGTAACCTAAAATCACATAAAATTAATTTTAAAACAACTTTCAAACTTCTATTTTATATTTATTGGCTCTACTTAAAAAAAATACTCAAACTATACATCAAATACTTAAATCCAATGTAGAGAACATGAACTTTATGCAAAACGTACCAAAATATTTGATATAAAAGGTAAACAATTAAACGACAAGTGTTCACTGAACTGTTGTAGTGTCACAATGAATACTGCGCATGCGGGTATTTACTACCACATAAATCACCTTCGGCACTTCCCTCCGTTCTCTTACAACTCTCTGAAATTCATTTTGTATGTATATTTATTTTTTGTAACGTTGACGAATGAAAAAATTGAAAAAAAAAAAAAACAAAATTTTGAAATATAAAAAAAAATCATATTTCAGGATTTCATTGCCAACCAGTGTTATTAAATTTCTCTAATAAAGAATATAGACCAACAGTATTCAAACAAATATATAGAATCGACTTAAACATTATAATCCTGTTTTATTAAATCGGCCGCTTTTTCTGCTACCATAATTGTAGGAGCGTTCGTATGTCCCGATATCATAACCGGCATCACTCCAGCATCGACAACCCTCAATCCCCCAATACCGTGGACCTTTAGCTTAGCATCCACCACTGAATCAACGGTAGAATTCCCCATGCGCGTTGTTCCCACGGAATGGTACGACTGCAATCAAGGGGGTCTACTCCAATATTATGTCAGGTGACCACTTACCGAAGAGCCGAAGTTTCTAATGGCGCAGTACCACCAATCGTCAGAGAACCGTTCGAACTGTCCATCGCACGGTTCGGCCGCAGGATGGTCCATCCAAGCTTGGAATTCTCGGAATGCTTTTGTTTCGTTCAGCCGCTGAACATATTTGAAACCCTTC